TGATTTTGTATGTTTGCCCACTGACAAAGAAATGATCAGTCTATAATTTTAATGGTAGGTTTATTTGAACAGTGAGAGGCAGAATAACAAAAAAATCCAGAAAAACGCATGTCAAAAATCTTATAAACTGATTTGCATGTTAATGAGGGTAATAAGCATTTGACCCCCTCTCAAATCAGAAAGATTTCTGGCTCCCAGGTGTCTGTAATACAGGTAACAAGCTGAGATTAGGAGCACTCCCTTTAAGAGTGTGCTTCTAATCTCAGCTCGTCACCTGTGTAGTAAGTTGCAGGAGGCTTGGACGACGTGGTTGGAGGCACACTTATTTATTAACACCAACTTGTGTACAGTAACGGGAATACACAGCACTTGAAGGGGTATCGTCCCCTTCACTCGTCTAACAGGGAGACACCACGTCTAACCCCGCTAACCTACGCCCGAGTCCTCCACTACAGAGCTAGGGGAGGCTACCTATCCCAGCCCTGCTCAAGCTGGGATCCCGGCACCCTGAGTCTCCAGACCGGCTCTTATAAGAACGTCAGTCTGGGCTCTCGGGGCCACGCCACCGGCTTTCCCTGGTCGGTCCTGACAAGGACAGCGAGCCAGGGGAGCTCCAGGGCCTATTCTAGCTGGTCTTCACTCTTCGCTGGTTTAAGCTAACACTCGACCTCGAGCGCTCCGGCTCACCACCTTTTATAGCACTCGGCCCCCGGAAGGGGCCCGTGGGGGATGCAGGTGCGGACGTCGGTGTGAGCACCTCCTCTGTGTACGGCCCTAACCACGCCCCTTGTGTTTGTTACCCATCCGTGCCCATACATCTTTACAATTACACCTCTACATCACCCCCCCCCCCTGTACAGCCCGCAGCCATCCCCGGCTGCAACAAAATCACAATAAAGGTGCATCCCCCCGCAAAACCGTGTGTGCCTCGCGTAATTTTAACAAGAACAACAACAATAACAGGAAAAAAAGAAAAATAACCCGACGCACCCCCCTGAATAAATACCCCATTCCGTAAAACCAACATATATACACATACCCCGGACGCCCCCCCCCCCTCCTTCCGCAAGGGCCCCCCAACGGCCGACCTCACAAAAGTCTGCGCGTTTTGGCGCGCGTTCTCGCGGCGGGCCCGTCACAAGGGGCCGCCCTGGCTCGCCCAGTGGCGGGTGTCGACAGTCCGGGTGTGAGAGTATCTGGCTTCGCTGCTGAGTGACCTCCGACCCCCCCGGGAGGGGTTGGCGGTCGTGAGCACAGTCACTCCTGGTGCACCTGGAGATGGAACAGTCGGTGTCAGGTTAGGGGAAAGCAGCGAAGTCGGGGAGTGGGCGGACCGCTAACACGTTTGGCCACGCATGTGTGTGTGAGGAACACGGGGCGGCGCAACGAACGGTTTCAACCTGGAGGGGTGCACGTACCACCGACGCTTCCCCCACTTGACGTGTACACATTGCGGCCGCAAGACCTGAATGACCTCTACGGGCCCCCGCCACGGCCGCACCAGCTTTGACGAGGTTGCCAGTAGCACCTGGGGACAGTGCAACCATGCCCTGTCCCCCGGTTTCCATTGGAACACATGTGCCCGCCCCAGCCTAAGCCTCTCATTCGCCCTTTGGCGGAGTTCCGAATTTTGCACGGCCGCTTCCCGCGCCTCTGTTAATTTCCCGATGTTAAATTTAACGTGGTCGGACAATTTAGAATTTGTCCGAGGCGCAGAGAGCTTCAGCTGAGTTGTCACAGGCGGGTTAGCCTCGCGGCCATACATTAAGAAGAAAGGTGAAAATCCGGTGGCCGCATGGGGAGCCATCCTGTAGGCTTGCAACACCCCCGCAATGTGAAGGTCCCAATCGGTCTGGGATTCCGATACCTGCTGGGACAGTATGGACGTGATAGTCCGATGCAGCCGTTCCACCATCCCGTCAGTTTGTGGGTGATATGGGGAGGTCCGAATTTTCTCCGTACCCAAGAGGTTGCACACCTCGCGGAGGAGTTTCCCCGAAAATGTTTTACCCTGGTCAGTCAGAAGCCGTTCCGGAGCACCCTTGTCGAGGACGTAGCCCTGGACAAAGGCCTCCGCGACGGCTGCTGCCGACTGGTTGGCCAGGGGCCAGGCCATGGGCCATCTCGTGAAATATTCGACCCCTGTCAACAAGTACCTATTTCCCCTGGGTGTAGCGGGAAATGGGCCGAGAATATCCAGAGCAACGAGCTCGTTAATCCGGGAAACCTTTATCGACTGCAGCGGAGGGTTGGACCCCCTCGCTGGTGGCTTCCGCTGCGCGCATTAAGTGCACGACCCCAGGAGATCCCCCACGTCCTTTGCCATGCCCGGCCAGAAGAAATCGAGCTGGAGCATGGCAAGGGTCTTGTGAGTCCCCAAGTGCAGGAGCCGCTCATGCGCAGCCCACACCACTTTACCCCTCAATGCTGAAGGCTCCACCAGCCGTTGGCGGCGGGATTTCCCGTCCCAGTGCATTAAAAGCCCCTGGAACAACCCCCACGAGTCAACGTTCGCCGCCCCCTGACCAACCCCCCCGATGCGACGGCGCAAAGCGAGAAGGGAGGTGTCCTCCATTTGGAGGCGTCCCCACTCCGCAACGGACAACCCCAGCAAGGAATCCCTCCCTTCTTGCTCGATAGGACCCGACGTAGAAGGCGCATCGGCGGCGGCCACAAGGACCGAATCCGTGGTCACGTTCGGAGGCCTACAACACCCCGAACCCAAGAGGCAAGCGCACTCTGAAGTGGGCGGCAACCGCGACAGAGCGTCAGCGTTCGTGTGGCGGACGCCCTTACGATATGTGGTGACAAAATCGTAGTCTTGGAGAATCTCCAACCATCGAGATAACTGTCCCGATGGTTGTTGAATCCGCAAGGCGTACTGCAGCGCCGCATGATCTGTACGGACAGTGAAACGCCGACCGTACAGATACGGGCGGTACTGCTAAATGAAATAAACGATCGCCAATAGTTCACGACGGGTAACGCAGTACCGTTGTTCCGCCGGAGACAACACCCGACTACCGTAAGCCACCACATGCTCTACGCCACCAATGAGCTGCGACAGCATGCCCCCAATGCCCATGTTACTTGCGTCTGTATCGAGCAAGAAAGGTTGTGAGAAATCGGGATAATTCAACGGCGGAGCCCCCACCAGGGCATCCCAGAGGGAGTGAAAAGCAGCCTCCTCCTCCGGTCCCCAACGAAACCTGACTCCCTTGGACGTCAAGGCATGCAAGGGTTTTGCGATCGTAGCGAAGTCAGCCACAAACCGTCGGTAGTACGACGCGAACCCAATGAAACTCCTGACCTCCCCCACCGAGGTGGGAGTCGGCCAGGAGCTGACGCATTTCGTTTTGGCGGGATCAGTGGATATCCCCGAGCGTCCAACAATATGACCCAAATACTGCACCGATTCGCGGGAGCAAATGGCACTTCTGCGGTTTAAATTTCAAATTGGCAGCCCGCATTTTGAGAAAAACAGCACGCAACCTCTGGAGGTGTTCATCGAATGTTTTGCTAAAGACGATGACATCGTCCAAGTAAATTAAACACGAATCCCATTGCAAGCCCGCCAAGACCAGTTCCATTAACCGCTGAAAAGTTGCCGGCGCGGAATGTAAGCCCATCGGCAAGCGGTTAAATTGGAAAAGGCCGTGCGGTGTACGGAAAGCAGTCTTAGGTTTAGATTCGTCATCCAAAGGAAGCTGCCAGAATCCAGAAAGTAAATCCAGGGTGGAAAAGAATCGCGCCCCCGCCAAGGCATCAAGCGACTCATCCATTCGAGGAAGCGGGTACGCGTCGGCTACTGAAATTTTGTTCAACCGCCGAAAGTCGACACAAAACCGCAGTGAGCCATCGTGTTTTTTCACCAAAACGATCGGTGCGCCCCACGGGCTGTTGGAAGGGGATATGATATCGGCGGCTAGCATGTCGTCAACGGCCGATTTGACATGATCCTTTTCGGCGGGACTCAACCGAAAGGGATTTTGGCGGATTGGCGCGCTGTCACCCGTGTCAATGTGGTGTCGCAGCAATTTAGTACAACCAATATCAAATTTGTGTTGACTAAAAACGTCGGCAAACTCTTTCAGGAGAACTCGCAGCCTCTCACGCTGTGAGTCGGACAGGTCCACTGATCCCGCGCAAAGCGCATCCAGCCATCCGTCATCACAGTCCGAATGCAGGTCGCGACGGAGGATCGGTGCTCACCTGACCCACGAGCGGTTCCTCATAGGGTGCCGGCGTTGCGTGTGCAAACACGGTCCCTTGAGGAACCACGGCTGTTCGCGATCCCACATTAAGGACTGCAATGAAGGGGTCCCCATCCCCTTTCACCATGGTCTGAGCCGCTAGCAAATCGGGTCCATTGACCCCGGCTCGAGATGGTCCCAACAAGACCCCCCGATCAGCAACCCCCTCAGCAAACGGTCGATGCAACCTAAGAGGGACGAGTATCTGAGCTCCCAGGGGTACGCGTACAGTCCTTGCCACGAGCGCCTGCACGGTCGCAAATGCCCGACGCTCCGAGGCGGGGGAAGACAAAAACGTTACACGTCGGCCCGACGGGAGTTCGATGCACCCCTGGTCGATCAATATACGGATAGGCATTTTGGCCAAGAAATCCGTCCCCAACAGGCACGGAACCGCCAGCGAGGAGGAAACCAATACCGGGCCGGATAATTTGATATCCCCAATGCAAATTTTGGCGCGGATCTGCCCAATGATGCCCAGCGAGCCCCCGTTAGCAGCATAGCATGGCACGTCAACGGGGAGCAAAGGATGGCTTTGAACGGGAAGGATGTTATGAATCAAATCAGATATAATGGTCGCCGATGCTCCCGTGTCAATTAAAATCCGCACCTCAACCCCATCAATGTGACCGACCACGACCGACGACCCCGCCGACGCTGCAACGACACGATGGGCGAGCTCCGACCACTGGCCCGGTTGGAGCGCTCGCCGCATTTCAGAATATTCCGACGCAACGCCCGGCGATTTTCGAGCCCTGTTTGTTTCAGCGAGTGAGTGTGTGACAGATGTGTGCACGGGCCAAACGTGTGAGGTGCCACGACTCGCCGTATTTCTCTGCTGGAGCTTGGGTGGAGGCGGCGCGGCGTCCTGACGAGGTGTTGCCCCGCGCTGACGAGGAGCCCGGCATCCTGAAGCCACGTGGCCTTGAAGGCCATAGTTGTAGCAGCGTGCGAGCGCCCCAGATGGCCTGGGCTGCTCCTGGCGGCTCGGTCCGTTCCGAGCCTGTGGTCCCGCAGATCTCCATTCCCCCCGCCACTTCACCCCGCAGACCTCCTCCGATGGGAGGGTGGGAGCCGCCATGGCATGGCCGGCCACCCCCTTGGCGGCCTTGCGACGCAGGGACCGCAAGCCCCCGTGGATGTGGCGCGCGATCAGCAAGGAAGACATCTCTGTCATCTTGAGTCAAGATGGCGACGTCCAGCTCGTCCGCGAGTAGTAACAGCTTTTCCGCCACCATAGCGTCCACTCCCTCCTCGTCCATCCGTGGAAAAGCTGCCTTCGCCAGGGCCAGGAGAGCCGTCCGGAAAGCCAGAGGCGATTCGTTGGCACCCCGATGGCGATCGTGGAACAGCTGCCTGCAGTCCGAAGGCGGGCCGTAGACAGCGGACAGCAGCTGCAGCGCCAAGTGCAGCGTGGCGCGCTTTTCCTTAGGCGCCGAGGTGAGGGTAGCCAGGGCGTCGTTGTCCAGCATCGCCGGCAGCGCACGTAGTGCTTCGCCGTCCGTCCAGTTCGCCATCTCCTGATGAGCTAGGAACCGTCTCTTGAAGCCACCCCAGTCCCCGTCCGCGCCCACAAACTCTTTGAGAGGCGGCAGTCGCTGCTGTAACGCGACGTCCGTGGTTGTGGATCGCGCTCCGTCGTTCCCGGCACTCGGTACAGTGGGGGCGGGCTGCGCGTATGGCATCGCCGGTCGCTCCGTTGTCGACGCGCTGGCCGGTGTTGATGATGTCACGGCTTCTGCTTGGCCCTTGGCGGTCACCTGACGCGGGCCGGCCCCACCCTCTGCTCTCACTATAGCGATGGCGGGAAATTTGACTGCGAGCCGCGTCGGGGTGGCGGGAAACGGCACTGCGCGTCGGCTGCCTGTCGTCGTCCCGCGCAGCCTCTCCAGCCCCCAGCCGCGTGATCTCCTCCAACGTGGCGGCCGCAGTGTAGAGCAGCTCCACCAGGCGGGAGTGAGCCAGCCGAAGTCCCTCGGCCGACGCACCCCACCCTTCCTGTCGTAGCGGCGCGGGTGTACTCGGGCCCCGGCTGCTCGGATCCGACCTCGGCCATCTCTGGTGCCGAGTCGGCCGAGGTGTCCTCCATCTCCGGCTCCCTGGTACGCGTCGTCCCTCATGTGGCCATTGTTGCACGATCACTTCTGACCCCAGATGTAGTAAGTTGCAGGAGGCTTGGACGACGTGGTTGGAGGCACACTTATTTATTAACACCAACTTGTGTACAGTAACGGGAATACACAGCACTTGAAGGGGTATCGTCCCCTTCACTCAGTCTAACAGGGAGACACCACGTCTAACCCCGCTAACCTACGCCCGAGTCCTCCACTACGGAGCTAGGGGAGGCTACCTATCCCAGCCCTGGTCAAGCTGGGATCCCGGCACCCTGAGTCTCCAGACCGGCTCTTATAAGAACGTCAGTCTGGGCTCTCGGGGCCACACCACCGGCTTGCCCTGGTCGGTCCTGACAAGGACAGCGAGCCAGGGGAGCTCCGGGGCCTATTCTAGCTGGTCTTCATTCTTCGCTGGTTTAAGCTAACACTCGACCTCGAGCCCTCCGGCTCACCACCTTTTATAGCACTCGGCCCCCAGGAGGGGCCCGTGGGGGATGCAGGTGCGGACGTCGGTGTGAGCACCTCCTCTGTGTACGGCCCTAACCACGCCCCTTGTGTTTGTTACCCATCCGTGCCCATACATCTTTACAATTACACCTCTACACCTGTATAAAAGACACCTGTTCACAGAAGCAATAAATCAGATTCCAAACTCTCCACCATGGCCAAGACCAAAGAGCTCTCCAAGCATGTCAGGGACAAGATTGTAGACCTACACAAGGCTGGAATGGGCTACAAACCCATCGCCAAGCAGCTTGGTGAGGTGACAATAGTTGGTGCCATTATTCGCAAATGGAAGAAACACAAAAGAACTGTCAATCTCCCTCGGCCTGGGGCTCCATGCAAGATCTCACCTCGTGGAGTTGCAATGATCATGAGAACGGTGAGGAATCAGCCCAGAACTACACGGGAGGATCTTGTCAATGATCTCAAGGCAGCTGGGACCATAATCACCAACAAAACAGTTGGTAACACACTACACCATGAAGGATTGAAATCCTGCAGCGCCCGCAAGGTTCCCCTGCTCAAGTAAACACATACACATGCCCGTGTGAAGTTTGCCAATGAACATCTGAATGATTCAGAGGACAACTGGGTGAAAGTGTTGTGGCCAGATGAGACCAAAATGGAGCTCTTTGGCATCAATTCAACTCGCCGTGTTTGGAGGAGGAATGCTGCCTATGACACCAAGAACACCATCCCCACCGTCAAACATGGAGGTGGAAACATTATGCTTTGGGGGTGTTTTTCTGCTAAGGGGCCAGGACAACTTCACCGCATCAAAGGGACAATGGACGGGGCCATGTACCGTAAAATCTTGGGTGAGAACCTCCTTTCCTCAGCCAGGGCATTGAAAATGGGTCGTAGATGGGTATTCCAGCATGACAATGACTCAAAACACACGGCCAAAGCAACAAAGGAGTGGCTCAAGAAGAAGCACATTAAGGTCCTGGAGTGGCCTAGCCAGTCTCCAGACCTTAATCCCATAGAAAATCTGTGGAGGGAGCTGAAGGTTCGAGTTGCCAAACGTCAGCCTCGAAACCTTAATGACTTGGAGAAGATCTGCACAGAGGAGTGGGACAAAATCCCTCCAGAGATGTGTGCAAACCTGGTGGCCAACTACAAGAAACGTCTGACCTCTGTGATTGCCAACAAGGGTTTTGCCACCAATTACTAAGTCATGTTTTGCAGAGGGGTCAAATACTTATTTCCCTCATTAAAATGCAAATCAATTTATAACATTTTTGACATGCGTTTTTCTGGATTTTGTTGTTGTTATTCTGTCTCTCACGGTTCAAATAAACCTACCATTAAAATGATAGACTGATCATTTCTTTGTCGGTGGGCAAACGTACAAAATCAGCAGGGGATAAAATACTTTTTTCCCTCACTGTATGGACAGAAAGCCCATCTCTGCTTGGAAGACACCTAAAACCCTATGCATTCTTTAAATGACGTAAGCCTGCGAATAAGGCTGCGAATAAGGCTGCGAATAAGGCGAATGCTATGGAAAATCGTCTCAAACTCCAGGTTACACATCTTCCAAGGTGCCATTTCACACGTGCTTGCCCCTTCTACTCAGCTTTGTCCAAAAACTCCACCCACACCTCCACATCCACAAACTGCTGGGGATTGCCTCGCTCTCCCTCAGAATCGGAATTCTTCTCCTGCTTCACGCTGCATCCATCCACTTGTAGATTGGATGCTGGAGTCGAATCTTGATCTTCACATTTCACCTCCACATCAACTGCTGGGGATTGCCTCGCTCTCTCTCAGAATCGGAATTCTTCTCCTGCTTCACGCTGCATCCATCCACTTGTAGATTGGGTGCTGGAGTCGAATCTTGATCTTTACATTTCACCGTCACTTCTTCACATTTAACTTCTTCACATTTCACTGTCACTCCTGGCCAGTGTTGCCAAGTTGGAAATTTCTTCTGATTCTCGTTTCATGAGAGATGGGCTCATTGCAGCATGTTGACTTTCACAAGTCGATTTCACTTTCTCCTTATGTATCTTCTCATGCCTCTTTAGGCTTCCTGATAATGTAAACTTCTTCCCACAGACATTGCACTTGAAAGGACTCTCACCTGAATGTATTGTCTTATGTTTCTTAAGAGATTTTGAATGAGCCAATACCTTCCCACACACCATGCACTTGTAGGACTTATGAACTTGGTGTGTTCTCTGATGAACATGAAGAGTTTTTGAATGAGCAAATTCCTTCCCACACACAGTGCACTTGAAGGGCTTCTCACCGGTGTGTGTTCTCTGATGAATATGAAGAGTTAATGAACGAGCAAATGTTTTGCTACACACAGTGCACTTGAAGGGCTTCTCGCCTGTGTGTGTTCTATTATGTTTCTTAAGATTTGCTGACTCGGCAAATGCCTTACCACATACACTGCACTTGAAGGGCTTCTCGCCTGTGTGTGTTCTATTATGTTTCTTAAGATATGCTGACTCTGCAAATGCCTTACCACATACACTGCACTTGAAGGGTTTCTCACCGGTGTGTGTTCGCTGATGAACATGAAGAATGTCTGAATGAGCAAATGTCTTCCTACACACAGTGCACTTGAAGGGCCTCTCACCGATATGTGTTCTCCGATGAATATGAAGAGTTTCTGAATGAGCAAATGTCTTGCTACACACAGTGCACTTGAAGGGCTTCTCACCTGTGTGTGTTCTCTTATGAATTAGAATACTTTTTGAATGAGCAAATGTCTTCCCACACACAGTGCACTTGAAGGGCTTCTCACCCGTGTGTGTTCTTTGATGAACATGAAGAGTTTCTGAACGAGCAAATGCCTTCCCACACACAGTGCACTTGAAGGGCTTCTCACCCGTGTGTGTTCTTTGATGAATATGAAGAGTTTCTGAACGAGCAAATGCCTTCCCACACACAGTGCACTTGAAGGGCTTCTCACCCGTGTGTGTTCTTTGATGAAAATGAAGAGTTTCTGAACGAGCAAATGCCTTCCCACACACAGTGCACTTGAAGGGCTTCTCGCCCGTATGTGTTCTATTATGTTTCCTAAGATATGCTGACTCTGCAAATGTCCTACCACATACACTGCACTTGAAGGGCTTCTCGGCCCTGTGTATGCTCTGTTGCTGCTTCAAACGTACAATGCGATCCGTGCTGTATAAACACTGGTCACATCGGTGCGTTTTATCACCAGGTGGTGTCGAGAGCCTCTTCTCCATGCGATTCATTCTGTAGATATAGATATACACATTATACACAATACACACGCATACATTACAAGACAAGGATCCCCTGTATAGCCATAAAAGAGTGCTGTTAGCGAGCACCGATGAAGGCTGACTATGGGCAATGAGGAGGTGGGTGGCCAGCATCACAAACGGGTGCCTTTGTCTCCCTAACGGCAATGCTTACGCATCACACCAGGTACAAATTTTAGGCTGAGTCGACCTAGGGGAGGCCCAGGAATGGTTCAAATAATCATCACTGGTGGTGGCCATGCGTGGGAATTTAACTCGTGTCTCCGGGTTCGTAGTGCAGCACACCGACCACTGCACTACCACTCCCTAGATTACACACCCAGAGGACATAAACACACAATACTCATTACACACTAGAAAACAAAGTACACTGAGACAAAATATCCTGTTCATGCAAGTGCTGATGAACCAGCACCGATTAATGCTGGCATGGCATTAATAGGATGTGGTGTGGCCAGAACCACACCCGGCTGTCATTTTCTCAACAATGATGTTACAAACTGCAAGGGGTAATAATTTAAAGTTTAATACATAGGCTATCGCGACCAGTAATATTCAAAGGTGTTTTGGGTTAGATCGCGTTATTTATAAATGTGTCGTAACCCTTCACCACCCAACACGGCCAAACAGTAAAAAATGTGTCACGTTTTTCAAAGGGCAAATATTTCACTACTTTAGCCCACCGGACTGTTGAAAAGTGAATCCACAACATTTACAATTTGAGGTAATCATTTAAGGCTGAGTCGAACCATGGCAGGCCCAGTTCACCGTTTCACTGCTACCAATGTTGGCCATGAGTGGGAATCAAACTCCACAGAGTTAGTCGCAAAGTGCATGAACCAATGCGTCACCGCTTCCCACATTACCCGTTCATATGCACAGAAACACACAATTATACACTCATGGTCTATTAATGGTCAGAGACAACGGCGGTCAGGCGTGTTTCTGGCCACCTACCCCCAGGTGTATCATGCCGACCTTCACGGGTGGTCGCTAACAGTACATGCCCCAACAATCTGTTCAAGCTGTAGGGTGCATGTTTGTCTTTATCTTGTGTGTGAGAGGGAGTGGAGTTTGCATGTTCTACCCCTATGATACAGGGGATTCGTCCAGGTTTTCTGGTGTCTTCTTGCAGCTAAACCCATAAACAACTAAGTTGGTTTTACCCAAAAGATCCCACTGGTGAAATAATTACCTGGATGACTCGAATGGGATTACAATCAGGAAATTTCTTCCTACTGCAACAAACTTGGCAGAACCCTCCTGAAAAAGCCTCGAGACTCAGTGAGGATCTCCTCATTGAGGTTGAGACATATTACAAGAGAAACCAGACAACGGGCAAGCTTAGCAGACAAGCCCTGCATGGCCAGGCCCCACATCGTAATGTTTTCATATTACAACCTGGACATCGATTCACAGTTACTGTGGCCGAGGTCCATTTCGAAAGTATTTGATGCGGTTGTAGAACAAGACAGGAGGGAGAACTGAAGTAGGATTGGCAGACGGAGGCTTCCAAACGATGCTGGTCAACGCACCAGGAACTATGTACTGAATCACTTCTGTGCCCATACCAGCTCATCCTCTCATCCTGACCAGTAGGGAAAAGGAGATGCAGCAACATCGCTGTTCCCACATGAAGTAAATATAGGTCCTCCTGATAGCAACCAGCCCTATGCATCTTCCACTAAGGATGTCAGTCACCATCAGCGATCCATGTGTTTGCACACCAACGGATGCGCTACGCCAAGCTCGCAATCCAAGCATTTAGACTGTCTGGATTAAGGGCTTGATGTTATACTAACAGCAAGATCCATAGACTGGCCACACAGAGCCAGACTAACACAGAGACGCATTGACTCATGATTACTTTACCTCAAGGAGGAAAGCCTGACAGTCTCAGGACTCTTCCCAAGATTACAGTAGGACGTGGTGACAGTGCTTGCTGGGTGTGAATCCAGGTTATTTTTCTTTGAAATGGGATGTTTGGCCACTAGCAGCCACAATGGACTATTTGGTGAGATTGCATTCGGTAGTGGCCCGCATACAGTTCACACATAACTCAACGTATTTGTAAACAACACTGTGGCCTCCAAAGGGGGTAGATACAGCAATCCCTCGCCGAACGCGGACTTATCAACCACAATTTCAGGTATATAAGGTTTATTATTTGTATACTAATTTACCAACCGAGGCCTGAAAATTGAAGTATCCACGTGTAAGCAGGGTGTTAAGGAAGTTACATGACATGTGTATTGCATCATTGCATTACAGCATGACATCATTGTATTGTGTGAAGTAATTTTTTTAAACATCTTCTCACCCGTGTGTTTTCTGGTGAATAAGGACATATACTGACCGTGTAAATGCCTTTCCACACACAGAGCACTTGAAGGGCTTCTGGCCAGTGTGTTTTCTCTGATGTCTCTTCAAGTTGCCCATCTGATATGTGCTGTATGGACACTGGATGCATTGGTGCCTTTTACTGCCAGCCTTTGCCGAACCTCTCTTCTCCATGTGATTGATTCTGCAGATACAAACATATTACACACAATATACAGGCAGACCTCGCTTCGTGCGACCCTTAGAGTACCGATTTGATACTGCGCTTTGTCTTGGATATTTTTGTTCTTAATTTTTAAGTTTACAAAGTGCTCACAAGTGAGTACACGCAGCAGCGCGAGCCAAGCAAATGTACCCGGCCCCATTGTTCGCTCGGCCAATGAGAACGACACATGGTCTAAGCCAACCAGACCCCACCCCCCGCGATTTAATGATCACGATTCGTGGTCATGATTATATTTAAAAATCATTGACTTGTTTAGCCATAATATAGGTTTTTGGGTCAGATCGCGTTATTTATAAATGTGTCGTAACCCTCCGCCACCCGACACGGCCAAACAGTGCATAATATGTCACGTTTTTCAAAGGACAAAATAATTCACTTCTTTAGCCCACCGGTGTGTTGAAGAGAGAATCAACAGCATTTAAAAATTTGAGTACGACATTTCGCTGGTAATTACAATCAGCTTCATCGGGCAAGAATGGTGAAGCCCTCCTGTTGCTCTCGGTCTTAAATAAGCAGCAGCAGGGTAACGTCACCATTTAATTCAATCTGGTGCAGTGATTCGAGGCAAAGAGGGGGAGGGTATTGTAATTATATAGATTGGTAAATCATTACATTGTTATTCATTGGTATGTTTCCCTTATAAGGAATTGTATTTATTTAATAATATGCTTCCAGGCCGCACTAAGCCTGTAGCTGTCAGAGCGATTGAAGTTATTTCTGTTTCTCTCAATTTCAATGGATTCTATAATTAGTCTTGGCCAGTAATAATTAGTTTTACATAACACTTCAACGTTATCAAAATCAATTGAGTGTCCTTGATGACAAGCACTCTGCCACTGCCGACAGTTGTGTTTGAGATAATTAAATGCTTCTTTGGTGTTCTTTTATTCTTACGCTGATGTTGCGTTCCGTCTGTCCAATATAGCATCTGCCACATAAACAATTAATCCGATATACACCTTCTGTTGATAATTTAGGCAATTTGTCTTTAGTGCCAGATACCAGTTTTTGAATTGTGTGTACTGTACCAAATCTTACTTTAATGTTTTTGCTTTTGCAAAACCCGGGCTAATTTGTCAGTTACTCCTGAGATGTATGGTATTTTAATTGTTTGAACAATCTCATTGCTTCCAGCAGTGTTGCTTTGCGTTCGTGAATTGGCCTTCAGTGCTCTGTTAATTTGAGCATTATTGTAGCCATTCTGTCTTAGTGCTTCTTTAACATGTTTAATCTCTCACGAGACTCTCACCATTTGACACTGTTTTAGAGAGATTGTGTGTGGGCGGTAGTGTCGCGGTTAGCGCGCTGTGCTATGAACCCTGCGAACCAGGTTCGTTCGATTTCCGATCAAAGCCGACACTTGTGACACATCTGAATTGGTCCTAGGCCTCCCCTAGGTCAACTCGGCCTCCAATGAGTACCTGGTGCGGTGTGTAAACATCGCCACTCGGGAGACAAAGGCAGTCCGGGCGTGGTGCTGGTCACCCACCCCTTCGTGTGCCGTGCCGGCCTTCATAGATGCTCGATAACAGTGGGAGCGTGTGGGTGAGCGTGTGGGTGGGGGAGTGTAATTGTGTAATGCTTTGATGTCTCATTCAGACTAAAAGTAAACGTCTGGGCTGGTATCGTCCGAATATTTCAGTGCTGAAACCCGGCCTGCAGATTACTCAATGAGGAATACGCGAATGCAAAACAAACACTCGACGATCCTGAACTAGAGAATGGAGACTCTGAGAGGTGAAGTAGTCAGCCAGGTGAAGACAAATTAAACTGAAGAGAATCAAAGCAAATTCAGTCAGGCAAGGGCAGGAGGCAAGGGTTGCATTGCTCGGCCCCACGTAGTAACGTCCCAACCTGGACATCGATTGCATACTTGCCGCTACTCAATTGCTATCGCTACGAGAGAGAGAGAAGAAGCGAGGCTGTACCTGGGTAAACAACAACAACAACAACCAACATCACGATGTGAACTTCTCACCTCCGATCCGAGACAATTGCGCGCACAGAAGCAGCTCCTGGAATCTCGTGACGTCACACGGAAGCACGGGAGAGATGACATGACGTCACTAGCACCCACACCGACTCCCCTCAAGTTAACGCGGATGTGTATGAAGAAATTATGGTAACGAGGCATGCCCATATATGGAGTAATTGGGCGTGGCCGCATAATTAATGGAAATTACGTTAATGAGCCGCCAGGGGTATTTGTTTTACTGCAGACTCAACATACAACGTCACCCCGGGCCTTTGAAGTTAAGGGAATAATAAAAGTATACACTAATTCGCTAAAATTGGTTCTGCTGAAACAGAAGTTTTCAGTTTCATTTACTAGGTATAACCGCGTGAGCCATGCGGCTCTTGACTCGGGTGCAACCGCAACAAAACAAAAACATGAACAAGAAACATCTTAAAGTGACTACACGCAACAGAAAATCGTGGAAAAAACAGCAAAGTCTTCTAGAAAAAACACCATATTTCCCTCATTAAAATGCAAATACTCATTTCCCTCATTAAAATGCAAATAAATTTATAACATTTTTGACATGCTTTTTCTGGATTTTTTTTTATTGTTATTGTCTCTCACTGTTCAAATAAACCTACCATTAAAATTATAGACTGATCATTTCTTTGTCAGTGGGCAAACGTACATAATCAGCAGGGGATAAACTACTTTTTCCCTCACTGTACCTCCTGTCCCCCAACTGGGTCCTGACTCAGGACCTACTCTAGATAACAATAGGCCTAGGCTGCAGCTGCATCTCTAGGTGCCAGCGTGTCTGGTGAGGCAGCCACACTGGAGTGGCAATGGTCTGTGCCGTTTGGTCCGGGAGGGCCCACGCCATCGGCCACCTAGTGCAGTACTTGATTCCAATGAACAGGTATTTATTTCCCCTTGGCATAACCGTCAGCAGTCCCAGGATGTCCAACGTGACCAATTCGTTGATCCTGGTCACCGTGATGGGCTGCAGGGGCGCCTAAGTTACCTGGGGTGGTGGCTTCCGCCACGCATTTGACGCAGGTTGCGACCCATCAGTGCACGTCAACGACCCTGTAATGTGGACAGTGTCTTCCGCCCAGCCAAGTGTAGCAGCTGGCGGCAGTGCACGTCAATGACCAATTGTCGATGCAGCGACTCCGGAACCACCAGGCATTGCTGGCGTAACGCCGGGTCCAATTGCATGAGGAGGTCCTCCCATATGACATACTCCTCCCCCTACCTCCGCTGAGGCACGCAGTGCTCGCAGGGGGCTATCCTCCTGTTGTAGACATTTCCAATCATCCAAGGTTAGCCCCAGGTCGTGGTCAGTCAGCTGGACCTCACTCTGTGCGCCCTTTGCCGTGTGTACGGGAGCGATGACAGTTCCCTCCGGCATCGCCTCCTAGCAGTATGCTGTGCTTGTGGTGCATGTGTAGTAGGTCCCAGGAGACTTGGACGACGTAGTTGGAGGCACACTTATTTATTAAGCACAAAGTACATAACAGGCCGAGATGTACAACACTCGAAGGGGTATCGGCCCCTTCACCCGTTGTTAGCCCCCCCAGGCTAAACGGTGCGGACGCGGATGTAAGCGCCTCTCGGCGTACGGGCATAACCACGCCCAGTGTGTTTGTTTGCCCTCCGTAACACCTCTACACATGCACAAGGGCCCTGGGGTGCCAGCCGGGACGATGCATCCGCGTTGGCGTGTCTTGTCCCCTTGTGATGCACCACCTGGTACCTGTACTCTTGCAGGCACTATATCCACCTGGCCAACTGGCTCGAAGGCTGGTCAATGTGGAGCGAATACTGCAAGGCCGCATGGTCAATGCGGACCGTAAATTTGCGACCATACAGGTAGGGTCGAAATTCCTGCACGAAGTGGACGACCGCCAAGAGCTCCCTACGTGTGACGCAGTACTGCTGCTCCGCTGATGACAGCACGTGACTGCCATAGGCGATAACCACCTCCCGACCCCACTGGATTTGTGACAAGGATGCTGCCGATGCCCACATCATTGGCGTCCGTGTCCAGGATAAAGGGGAGGCCGAAATCCGGAGAGGTCAATGGTGGTGCATCTGTCAGATGCGAGCGCAGCTGCTGGAATGCCTTAACCCCTGAGGTCCCCAATAAAACCTCTAGTTCTTCACCGTCAATACGTGGAAGGGCTTTGCAATGGTTGCAAAGTTACAGTGAGGGAAAAAAGTATTTGATCCCCTGCTGATTTTGTACGTTTGCCCACTGACAAAGAAATTATCAGTCTATAATTTTAATGGTAAGTTTATTTGAACAGTGAGAGACAGAATAACAACAACAAAATCCAGAAGAACGCATGTCAAAAATGTTATAAATTATTTGCATTCTAATGAGGGAAATAAGTATTTGACCCCCTCTCAATCAGAAAGATTTCTGGCTCCCAGGTGTCTTTTATATAGGTAACGAGCTGAGATTAGGAGCACACTCTTAAAGGGAGTGCTCCTAATCTCAGTTTGTGCCCTGTATAAAAGACACCTGTTCACAGAAGCAATGAATCAATCAGATTCCAAACTCTCCACCATGGCCAAGACCAAAGCACTCTCCAAGGATGTCAGGGACAAGATTGTAGACCTACACAAGGCTGGAATGGGCTACAAGACCATCGCCAAGCAGCTTGGTGAGAAGGTGACAACAGTTGGTGCCATTATTCGCAAATGGAAGAAACACAAAATAACTGTCAATCAAAGGGTGGGGGGGCAACCAGGCAGCTGCGGCCACGGGAGCAGAACGAGACAGAGGGCATCTTTTTTTTCGCAAGAGACGCGCAGAGGGGGGAGAATTTCACATATAAGCAGGGACACAGATCATGCAACTTAGTCTGCAAGGGGCAGGCTCCGGGGCATGGCCTCGAAATTAACCATGGGTGTCGTGTCTCGCAGAGAGAAGGGAGGATGTATTGTTAAGAGCTACAGAGTATCGCTGAAAGTGTTATTCTACATTTATCCTGATGTTTTGAGTCGCTTGCTGAATCAAGGATTGCGATAAGTTGTATTGTACTAAGCTATCAGAGTTGTGTAAGAGGTGTGCTAATACAATTTACAAGTTTTGAGAGTGAGTGATCCAGCCAGCGACGAGCAGCTCACAGAATGAGCCCTCTTTGAAGAAGGGCGGAAAGCACGAAAGTTGAGCAACGACAAGGCGTAGCCCTAAAATAAGGGTGGGAGAGGCACCACTGATTGCCAGCGCGAAGCTGGAAGCTGCCCGCCAACGGAGAGAGAACAGAGCAGTAGAAAGAGCCTGAGCTAGCGCAGCCCTGAAGGAGGGCGGGAGAGGCACCACCGGGTGCCTGTGTGAAGCTGGCAGCTGCATGATAAAGGAGAGAGCACGGAGAGAGCACGGAGAGAGAACGGAGCAGTGGAGAGCGCATGGAGACAGCTGGTGCAGCCTGAAGTAAGGGCGGGAGAGTCACCACCGGGTGTCTGTGCGAAGCTGGCAGCTGCACGATAAAGGAGAGAGCACAGAGAGAGTACGGAGAGAGAACGGAGCAGCAAAGAAAGCATGGAGACAGCTGGCCAGCCTGAAGTAAGGGCGGGAGAGGCACCACCGGGTGTCTGCGTGAAGCTGGCAGCTGCATGCAAAGGGAGAGAGCACGGAAAAAGCACAAAGCAGTGGAAAGAGCCTGAGCCAGCGCAGCCCTGAAGGAGGGCTGGAGAGGCACCACTGGGTGCCAGTGAAGCTGGCAGCTGACTGCAAGGAGAGAGCACAGAGCAGTGGAAAGAACCTGACCAGCCGCCGGTGAGGAATGGAAGAGCACCAGCGAGAGCGCCGTGGGTTAGACCCAAACACACACCGACAAGCACCAGCTGGGATCCAAGACAAGAGTGAGGAACGGCGACTAGCTGGTGAGCTGCGAGAGCTATCTGACGACGGAATCATCGTGCACCGCCGACGGCGAGCATCGTGCCAATTCAACCAACCAGCAGTGGAGAGAGCTGGCAACGCCAAGAGGAAGAGTGTTGGCGCAGGCAAGAGTGTCGTGTGTTCAATACACACACACGCCATCCCAGCCGCCGTGCTGGGAACCCGAGGTATCATCAGTACAAGGAACGCTGTAGCGCGTAAGCCGCCAATTCAACATGGCAAAGAAGACACACACACATAACACGCATATCGGGACTAATAAGATTGTTCAAAAAAGCTATCATTGTGTTTCAAGAAGGGTTGCCATTCCAAGGTGGTGCGTTAAATATCGGCTAAATGTGAAAAGCATTGCTGCCCTTCGAGTTACATGAATACGATTGTTTCGAAGTATTTTAGTAATTCGTTTTCGTTAATTGCTTACCAATGAATTCATTGATAACTACTTTGCTTTAGGCACATGTTTCTATATTACTGTTCGTATGAATATTTTCACATTAATATTAAGGACTTTTTCCTATCACCGTGTATGCTCGCTTTACTATGAGGAATTAGCCGATTGTTCTGTTACCAAGTTTAACATACGTAACCATTGAGGGTTAAATGTACGGATCAATAAGTAGGACATCTTGAGGAGTACCGTGTTGACAATTTCGAGCATAAGTGGTCGTATGTTAGAGTGTTTTTGATATTAAGTTGCTTAACACAGAAGAGTCTGAGTGGTGCTTCCCTAAGTGAATGCATAATCATCTTAATTATAAGAACTGTTTTCTGCGGTGAGATCTGAATTTTGAGACCTGAAATAAACACACTAAAACATGATCAGTAAAAGATAAAGCAAGAATCATTGTACTATCCCGAATGATAATACAGCCCGAGACAACGAAGCCGAGATTAATCAGAATAATTACATAAATTAGCATAATTGAATACACTTTCATAACGTAATACATTTACACCTTCCTAATTAACATAAATACATTATTTTTTTTTTTTCAAGACCGAATATACACAACACGTCCTAGGTTGAACAGGACCCTGGCTGAATGCGTCGTAGAACTCCTGCAGTAATGAGTGCAGCTGGTGCTTCTGGTCGGGTGGCAAACCTGGCTCAGGTCCCGCCAACTGGTCCATTTACGAGTCGCTTCCCTCTGTCCTCGAACTGGCTGTCACTTTCCACAAGCTCTGGCCCCGTCCCAGAGACTCCTAGTGACAAGGGACTAACGTGGGCCAGAACCCTTCCTGTCTGTACTAGTCGCTGCTCGGTTACAGAAGTTCAGCACTTGAATGAACAGATGCTGGTTCCCCTGGACAATAGTTTCGGCCCACACCAGTGCGTGGCGATCTGTGGTGGCTGGCACCAGAGACACCAGTCCGGCCGGGCTGTCACGAGGGAGGACTAATATCGCAGCGGAATCAGCATCTGGGCTGCTGGGGGAATGGAGACAGACTCACTGACCAGAGTCTGCACGTAAGGTACACCCCGGCCGGCCGCCTTTCGCCTTCAGGAAATGGAGATGTGTTCCCTGGACTTCCATCCGCCCGTTGGCCAGATCGATTTTTATAGGCATTCGCCTCAGAAAGTCCGTCCCCAACACGCAGGGCACAGGCAGCGTTGCGGAGAAAAAAATGGGTCCTGCTACCGAAAGCTGCCCAATCTGTATCGGGGCTTCAACCTGGCCCAGGAAGCCCATAATCCTTCCATTTGCCTACAACGAACGTTGTCTTGATGGGGACTAAAGGCCGATTTTTATCCGGCAGCATCTCGTGCATGGTGCTCGAGATGATTGTGGCCGATGCCCCCGTGTCAACCAGCATGCGTGCCGACACTTCCACGATTGCATCGACCAGGACCGAGGTTCCCGACGCGGCCGCTACCACCCGCCTTGCCAGCTTCTTCAATTGTGTGTGGCTGAGTCCGGCCATTGACCAGGCGGTGGCTCACTATCCTGCGGTATATGGCGAGGTGGAGATGGATGTGAACGGGCCGAAGATATGGTTCTCTCCTTTGGAGTGTGTCGCAGCGGGGTGAATGTGCCCTTGTTACATGGGGTGGGCTCCCCACTAGGATGCCGGTTGGGCTCCCCATGTAGTGCGAAGTCCCCCCCCCCTTGTGACGTGGGATGGGACCCCTTGTGGTGGGGGGCGCCCCCCCCCATTGTAGCGGGGAGTGGGGATTGGGGGTGGGCCTTCCCGTGAGGTGTAAGAGGCGAGCACATCATCGTCCAGAACAGATGGCAGCGCTCGTAGCGCCAATTTGTCTGCCCATTCGAGAGCATGGAAGGCAGCCTCGAATCGGCGGACGAACACCTCCCAATCACCTCCCTCGGCCACGAATTTCTCGACGGGCCCCAGCCGGCGCACCCATCCTGCCACCTGCTCCCCCCATTGGGTGTTTAGCCCTGGCGGCTTTAGCTGGAGCGGCTGCGGCAGCTGGCGTGATGGGGCTGGTTGCAGCTCATGCCTGGCTGGCTGGTTGGCCTCCAGGTTCCGTGGCACCTCCTCCTGTAGTACGAGTGGGAGAGGGGGTCCGGCGCCGGTAGGCCCCCCCATAGGGAGCTGACGCAGTAGCTCCTGGAGAGCCCTTTCCACGCGGGCCATGTGCCCCTCCATAGGGTCCTCCATGGGGTCCGGGCCCCCTGCTGCTGCTCCTGGTAGCAGGCCCTTTTGTTGCTCTGGACGTGGGGGATCTCTGCTTCCTCTTCTGTTGGCTCTTTTCCACGGAGGTTCTTCCTTGTAGCCATTGTCAATCCCACCGCTGCCACCAGATGTAAAGGAGAGCCGACACAAGGTTGCAGGGGGTTCGTCTTTTATTGATTCCCCCAGTCCACACTCGTCCCCATCCTTCTCTGTCCATTTCCACGCCAGTTCCCTCTTTCCTGCCAGTTCTCCCTCTTTTTTCTCCTCACATGCTCCTCCCCCTTCTACTGTCACCATCCCACTGTCCCCTCCTCTTGGTGGGAATCCTTCCCCTGACATCCCTTAGACCTGTATAAAAGGGGATGTGTGTTAGAGCAGATGAAGCAACGGCACCAGTGGAAGAAGCAGTGGCACCAGCGGGGGCAGCAACAGCAGTGCACTGAGCGAGCAGGGCAGCTATGAGTATGGTCAGAGCTACAGTTACTTGTTTCACTATGCAGTATGGAGCAATATTGTACACATTGAAGGTGATAATGGGGGTTCCCACATTGCTATTTTCCCTGTTGTGTAGCAGTCTGGGATGGGCGCAAAGACCCATGGACCTGCTGTGAGGATCAGAAGGGAGAAGACAGGAAGCAAGATTCAGCCTACTGTAGGCCTCTCGGATTTAATATGTGGTGTGGCTATTTGGGGATATCTGCAGGCTTTCTACAGTGTGTGTTGACCGTGGAGTTGGTTTTGGTGCTGTGTATGAAATGGTGAAACGGCATAACGACCACCACGAATGAGACGGTGTGTGTGTCAGGATTGCATTGGATCAAAGGCGTGAGTGGTTTTAAGGAGTGAACCGTGTTTTTGTGTTGTATTGTGTGTTCTGGGGATGTGGGACCCTATTGGGGGGGGGTACATAAGCGAGGAAATACAATTGCTTCAGCCTTTAAGACCTGGTCCATGGGTTTATTTGGACTACTTTGGATTTTGGGGCAGACCGGCCTGCACAATAGTTCACCATGGTGGAGGTAATTGTGTAGTGACGCCAGAGTTGGTTACCCACTGTCACAGCAGCGTTTCATCGCAGGACAATGTAACCAGACACTATCCACAATTTTTCGAATTACTGGCCCGACACTCATGATGTTTTAATTTGTGACAGGTACTTGAGTACTTGTATCTAATGACCGTTGGGATTTGTATACCCCAGGCATAATCTGATGCAATTTCCATATTCACAGGCAAGCCATGCCTCCCTCAAACATTAAACACATTTTCCCTGTCACCAATATGGTGGCATCCTGTATGCGTACTGTACATTACATCGACGATGCGTTTTTCCAAATCAACTTCATCAGTCAGAAGCTTCTCCAGTCACCACCATATAAGCCTGCAAGAAAGCTTCAGAGATGGTCTCTGCCTCCTAGTCAGCCTTCGACACCAACAGGGGCATATTCCCCTGGTTAGTCCTTGGCAAATGACCCAAGATATCCATTGCTACAATTTCTTATTTGTTTGAAAATGCTTAACACATCTTAATACTGAAGGTCCCATAGACATGCAACCATTATGTTAACGTAGGACAAAGAAACGTACCGGCAGCAGTACCCACCGCGGCTCCGGTGGCTGTTCTCTATTCACACAGAGTGGGTTCGCCACCGCCTACTGCTTCACATCGTGGCACACGCCCTCGCTCAGGCCTCAATGGAGCCAACGTGTGATGCGTCCCTTCGTATGCCGTCCTACAAGGCAATCAACGGGTTAGCCTCGCAATATTTGCAGGAACCCATCCATCTGTACACTCCGGCGAGGTCTCTGAGATCACCTTCTTTCTAGGACTCTGAGGTCAATCTCCATTTCCTGGGGCGATTTGGCTTTTTGCCAGTGCAGCTGCCAATCTTTGGATGGCTTTGCTTTTGCTAATAAGGCAATCATAATCGTTGATATATTTAAGTCTGTCTTGAAAACTCACCTGTTTAAATAGGCCTTTAGCCCCTAGTTATGGCCATTTACTCTGGTTCTGTTCATTTCCTGCTTTACATACACGGTGGCGCATTGGGATCTACAGTATGAAATACGTAACTTTTACAAATGTAAATTATTATTCTCAATTGTGGCTAAGCTGCAGCAAGCACCTTCTGGCACGACAGTGCGATGCAACCTGGTCAAAGCATCTAATCAAACCAACATACTCTGCTGCTCTACTTACTTCAAAATGTGATGCATCCCTAAATCCTACTGCTGGGGGTGGGCCGACTTGGACAAAGTTACCCCAATTGATTTCACTCGACTGTATAGCTGACACTGTGGAGGACAGTGATAGTCCTCATCCATCTCATGAGAGAGGCATTGGGGCCCTGAAGTTCGTGCGTATCTCGATTCGGCAGCTGTGACAGCGCACCAATTTTGCTGTGGCCTGCACCCACCATTATCGTGGTAAATTCCTGAAAGTCCTCTACCCACTGAACATCAGTCTGTTTTCAGACTTGGTCCCCTCAAAATCGCCTTTTAAAGATTAAAGCCCAATCCGTCCCTCACATTGGAGCATGTATGTATGTTGAACTTCTTTTAAAACAGTACGTAGTCAACTGTGCTCATTGTAAGGGCGGATTGAGTGATTTAATGGCCACTTAGTGGCGAATGGCAGCTGTTATTGTATGCATATGTATCTGCACGTTCACGTCTGGTTGTGTATGGAAGGTGTGTTGGGAGCAGTGGCAGTGATTACCGTGCTGTGCAGCAAACTTGACGAATTTGACTTTGTATTGGGTGCTGACCTCGGCACATCAAGCAGGGGTTTTCTTGTACTGTATTATTTTTATACATAAATGCCTTCACACGTTATAATTGTAATGATGTCTACAAATCATTAAAAATATAACTTGTCTGCCTTTTCTCAATGTACTGGTGTATAAAGGTTTCACTGCCCTGTGCAAGTTGTTGAGGATCATGACCACTATTTATTAAATGGCGAGCCGCATACTTGAATGTGTCCAGGGGGGACAGCTGATTGAAATGTTAAATACGATTGTCATCAATTTATTTTTCTTTATTGCCAACATAAAACAGCTCACACGTTTTGCAAGTGATACAGTAGTCGTGGTAACACGTGCATCTTCGATGTTTTACATTTGATGCGTTGGGTGTCGTTGTTGTTTGTGCGTTGGTGTTTATTGTAAAAGTACAAGTTCTGCAACTCACCTGACTGCAATGAAGTTCCCCAGCACCACCGTCAACACCAGTTTGTCTTTCTGTTTCTTCCACAAAATTGTACACCAGCAGGAATGTCAATGGAGTCGGTTCTTAGAACAATGCTCATGTTACCTTTATTATTGTTTAAGTTGTGATCAGATTTAAAAATGTATTAGTTGTAGTGGACAAATCCTAACAATGAGTTATGTAAATAAGGATGCTTCCAACCTGCAATGCTGGGTGGTATGTTTTTATTAGTCGACCATCAAATAACATAAAGAAATACAAATATTAAAAAATAAGAAAAATAATATTAAGAAATCCATCCTTCAAATTAGTCAAGTAATCTTAAATTGCTGAAAATATAACTTTCGACGTATTTGGGAAAAGCTACAAAAAGTCAACCAAGTTCTCCGACCGGCGGACCAATGCCCATGTTCTTCAGGGTGCTTGACTACACCTTATGCTGTGTAGAGATGGCTCCCAATACGAGTAGTTTAGCTCGACTGCCACAGAGCATTGGGACGATTAAGATAACTATAAATCCACAAATATTGTAATGCACACAGTTTTCATTAGATTGAGAAGTACAGGAAACCACAGGCAAGCTATAACCGGGGCTAACCATTTTTCTCCAGCACCAGTGGCCCTATATTCAGATGTTTGGATAACTCCATTAATTCATGTTCATAAAAGTAATGAAATCGAATAGAGCACTAAGGCATTTAAGAGCCTCATAAATGCGGATCCCTTTCCTTAAGGAAGCATGACCACTTATGGCATCACTCGCTTTGAATGAATGCCCAATAATTGCCGAACGTGTTTCACGATCTCCTCGTCCCTGCTGCCATACAGAAAGGGGCTCATGAAGCGGGGGATCACGTGCAGCGCCAGGAAAAATGCAACCCTGACGATGAGTGTGGCCCCAGCGTTAAGGTGCAACAACTCCGCCGACTTGTGGAACATGGGTAAGGCCACTGGCAGGAGGCAAAGTCCCAGCTGAATTGCATGCAGCACTATGGTCTTTCTGGCTTTAGAGAAGCTGTTGTGTTTCTCTGAGGCCTTCTTAGCGGCCCGAGCCGTCATGACATAGGATATTGCTACAGACAGCACGGCGAATGTAAATACCATGTACATAAACGCGTCACGGATAATGACTGCTGCCTCTCCATAAGGCATGTCTGCATCCAACTGGTTCATTTCGCATATAAGTTGGTGCTCGGTCATGAAGAGCGAGCCGCTCGCAATACACAATAAGAGGCGGATGGTTGGCGCTGACAGAGACAGTATGCAGACGCCAGCCACGACCTGTAAAACACATTCACACGAGTTTGAGGGAGGGAGTTCAACGGAACTGAAAACCAGAGAACACGTACCAGTTGAAACCAGTTTAACATACACTTGCAAATGGTATTGTATGTTGAACTTCTTTGGCACCGTGCGTAGCTAGCCACGTTAATCGGTGATGGGAGGGAAGGACAACAAACTAAACACAAAACGTAGTTCTAAAGAAATTAGTTTTCAATCTAGATTTAAAAGAGAATAGCTCCAGTGGCTTCCTTACGTCGAAAGGAAGATGGCCGCAGAAGCCCATCTGAAAGTGCGTGAAGCAGTGACCATCTTTGTTCGATGACAAGAAATGCTCATAACAAGTATAACCCGTAAAAACAAAGTTTTTCACTATAAATCCTTTATATGCGTGGCAGCGAACTCAATATAAAGGATTTAAAAATATATTCGCCTGTGGAGGACGCGGGGATCGATCCCGCAACCTTTGGCATGGGAAGCGAGGGCGCTACCAACTGCGCTACTCCGCCACGGCCTGTGGAGGGGTTACGCTCTGGGCTCTTACACTGTGACGTTCAGCCAAAGCCTTGAATGCGTTCTATTGGAATATATGTAAATACATTTTTTTTGCCTAAAAAGTGTAAAATTTTGGGCAATTTTTTTTTTCACGAACAGTAATTGTCTGGCACAACGAGTCTGTGTGGAAAATGTCAGCTCGATTGGATCACGGGAAGTGGGTTAAAAAAACGACCGAAAGATTTGCACGGTCCTAAGCAAGCACGCGAACTTAATATAAAGGATTTAAAAAGGGTCCTGAGACGTAATGTGACTTTATTTGATATATGGCATTGCAGTTTGTCCTCAAAATAACGTGAACAGATGTATTGAGATCACCACAGCATCCTTATCAGGGCCAAATCCGTTGATGTCACCTACACCTCGCCAATGCGTAATACCTAAAGTCACGTAGAAAGAAAATTAAATAATAGAATACGACGTTTCGATTGCAACACAAGCAATCATCATCAGGTACGTACAATCATCATCAGGTACGTACCTAAATTTCGATTTAAAGCTTTCGTGACTGCAGGGATTCATCTTCTTGATTCTTTCGGTAAAGTCACGTAGAAGGGAAGTAATAAAATAATAAAAATTAAACATAATAAAAGAATTCTCACGACGTTTCGGCCACAACGCAAGCAGCCGTCCTCAGGTGAAGAACATGTGTGTCGATAAGACAGAGTCTAAATGACACGTCTTAGGCTTGGAGTGTCTATTTAAGCTGTGAGGGAGGAGGAAGAGAGCCTTGACAAAAGAATTTGCATTTGAAGAGGAATTTAGCATATTTATGGGAAATGCAGGAATGCGAATAATGCTAATTGTGAAATGCGTGGGAGGTGGGCGGGGGGTTTTCAAAGTCAAAGTCATATTATGCCCACGTACCTGATGATGATTGCTTGTGTTGCAATCGACACGTCGTATTCTATTATTTAATTTATTTTCTTTCTACGTGACTTTACCAAAAGAACCAAAACGTAATTCCTGCAGTAACTAAAGCTCCAAATCAAGTTTAAACCACCTCTACGGGGAGGATTTAAGTTAGTCTCCTCTCTATCTCGGTGTCTCTGTGTTCTCTCTCTCTGCTTGTGTGTCTCTGTGTCTGTGTCTTGTCTCTCTCTCAAATTCCACACTTAACTTCGAATTTAGCAATCTGTGAAAGAACGTAATCAATCAGGATATGCGTTAATTGTGTGTTGACCGACTCTCTGTGTTGCATTGAATTACTTTGCCAAATTTTACTAAGTTTGTTTTATTACGTTTATTTTCTCTCTCTGTCTCTGTGTTCTCTCTCTCTCTCTGCTTATGTGTCTGTCTATGTGTCTCCGTGTCTGTGTTTTGTCTCTCTCTCAAATTTAGCACTCTTTGGAAGAACGTAATCAACCAGGTAGGGTGTTGACTGTTATATTAGCCGACCCTCTGTGTTGTATCGCATTATATTTCTAAGTTTACTAGGTTTGTTTTTTCTCATTCATTCGTACCTGATGACGATTGCTTGTGTTGCAATAAAAATGTCGTATTCTAATATTACATTTATTTTCTTTCTACGTGACTTTACTGTAAGAACCAAAAAGTAAAATCAATATTATGATCAATTCGTTTATTTTTTTTCAGATTGTGTAGGTATAATGTAATGTGTTTTAACTATAACCCTCCACCACCTGTGATTGAATCAAATCAAGCCGTCACGTGAGCTCATTCATTAGGTTGAAAAGTCTCATCAAGGAGCATACACCATCCAGTCATCCTTACAGCGGGTTTGGATAACCATTGTACAAAGATGGTCGCTGCATTCCGCGCTTCAAATGCGCTTCTGCAGCTGTCTGGAACGCTCTTTCTTCCGATACTAGGAAGCCACTGCAGCTATGCACTTCTAAATATAAATGTTAAACTAATGTCTTTAGAATTACTATTTTTTGATTGGTTTGTTTTCCTTTCCCTGCACCTTCGATTAGCAACGGTTGGCTATGTATGGTGCAAAAGAAGTTCAACATGTATACAGATGCCAAAAGCCAATGAAATCAGTGGGAATATTTGCTCACCTGACTTTATTTGATCGGCTCTGTCAGTTTGTGGAGAGTTGTGGTGAAATGATCGAACCCAAAGTAAACAAATTATAAATAACTATTACGTTACTTGTTTAGTCTATCTCGGACAACTATACTCAGTGTTCAATAAGTTATTTTCGACATACTTTAGTAGTGTAAAACTCTCTGATCCATACAGTAATACAAAAACACCTCCCTCAAATACTGTTTCATTTACAGTCAGATGGATCTATATTTTATCGCAATATGGCGTACATATTCAATAAAAAAATGGATAATAATGCCCAACATATAAACTTGAAGATTTAAAAACTGCACATCGCAAAGCGACGCTAACTTATTATTTAAAACGTGAAATTTTTTTGTAAAATCGTCCCCACAGCTATAGACTACGTGGGTTCTTATAATACCTTTGAAGTTGCTTCATACATTTCTAATTTATGTTGTAATACAATGTACATTTTGAGCACTCGAATTAAAGCTAGAAATGTCATACATTGATTTGTATTAGTATACACAAATATCTCGGTTAATGAAGTATATACGTTCCAGGGCGTATCTTCGTGATCAAAACTTCGTTCCCAGATTATTCGTTAACCGAGGTATTTCTGGAACGATTTTCTTAATAAAAATGGTAAAACCGGGGATGCCACGCACCCACATTAGCCAGGTTTGTCAGAGATACTGCGTACTATCATGGTTTACATAATCATCATCATCACCTCCAACCACATACCTGCAGGCCGGATTGCCGGTGGGCCAGTTGGTGGTATCGCAGTGGCTGACAAATGGCCAAGTAGCGCTCCAGAGCCATGGCCGTGATGGTGAGGGTGCTGTTGATTTGAAACGTCGTACTTAGATTGATTAAAAAACAGCAGAGGATGCGAATCAGCGAGATACGCTCCAATCTTATTGTCATCATCACACCCGATAGGAGCACGTAGAGCGTGTCGCTGGTCATCAGGTTCATGAAGAGGATGTACTTGGTACTCTCCATGAAGGTCATCACCCGGTCGAAGAGACACGCCATGAGGACAAACATAACAAAGGACGGCAACCACGTGATCAGCAAGATAGCGTACACTACGTGGTTAGTGGTGCTCCAGATCTGCTCTGGCAGTAGAGAAGTCTCGTTTTTCAAAGAGTCATTCACTGGTAGACTTGCCATGATTTTGATTTGTTTATTCCGCTCTGTAACAGGAAAACACACGTGGTTCGGGGGAGGGAGAAACGCGTTACACAAATAATACATATGCATGAGCTCTGTAATACTTTCCAATCTGAATTTGTCTGTCCGTGATGTAGTGAACTAGGAATATGGAACCCGACGGGTAGCTGTAAGGGGAAAATGCATTTTTACATTTGAAAATAGTCTCTTTAGCTCCCACTACATTTTTTGAAAAGAGTACATTTTGTTAAAACGATGATTCCCCCCCTGCCATAAATAAGGACGCGTCGGGTCCATGGGCATGACAGATATTCGCGTGTGGTTATTTTTTTGTCACCCAACGTTCTGCTGCGGGACTTTTGTTCATGTGTAGTGACATCGGGGATGTCACTGTATGGTGCCGGCCTGGACGGGCCGTGGCGTGCAATGCATTGGCATTGCGTACACCCCATGGTGGTTGTAGTACCAGCCCTAGCGGAGCTTGGTGAGCGCTGGGATAGCGCAGGTACGACGTATAGTGTGAAGTGCGGTCTCTCACGAGGGGGAGCGGGAGAGTGTCAACCCAAGTACAGGTTTGCCTCGGGCCATGGCACTCTGGTTGACCCTGCAGACATCGTGATTTAGAGTGTCCACAGAGAGGCCCCCAGGTGGGGGGACTAGGGGGTGATCACGTGTCCACGGAGAGCTCTCGAGAGGGATCGAGGGGGAGCTATAAGGCTCCAGAAGGCGGGCGGGGCCAGGGGCGGAGCGGCCCCGACCCGTGGGGGGATATAAGGCGGGTCCCTGAGAGGGACCGGGGTCGCTGCATTCTACAAGCTGGAAGCTCTACATCTCAAGCTGGCAGCTCTACGTCTCAAGCTGGAAGCTCTACATCCTACGAGGCATCAACACGTGGTCGCGGACCAGAGTGAGGGCCTGACCCTTCGTAGCTGTAACTCCTCTGTATATGGTAGTTAGCTGGGTGGTCACCACCCTAGGCTGTATCTGCTGAAGTGGCAGTTACCCCTTTGTGTTACGTGTTACAAATAAATGTGTTGCCTCTAAAAGGAACAACGTCTGAAATTCAGTTGGACTCACTACACATGTGTACAGCAACACAATTGAATAAAAGTATATTTTTTTAATATATGATCTTCTCTACATTGTTATATCACCTAAGGATGGTCCCCTCCTGTATTCCCAGGGCCTATTTCAATGCACTTCATTGACATGAAAGGAGAGATAAATTCATGGTGGTTTCCCCAGATTGCCCCACATGCCCCCCTGGCACAGTACAAATTCTACTTACACTTTTTTTGGCCATGCCCAAATGTCACAAAATTCTACCAGGAGATCACCACGGTAAATTTTTACGACATCTGTGGCATTAATCTCTCTCCCAATCAATTGAAACAACTGTGTGGGGCCTGAAACTGGACACTCGATTGAGACGCCTACATGCACTATTCCAAACCTGTAATATCTTGGAAACAATGGCAGAATGCACTGTTAGCCCCGGCAGGTATTGAGCATTTAAGCCAAAAGCTTTTTGGGAATAGTAATTCAAGACCAGGTGGTTTCCCTTCTTGCGAAGTCTAAAATAAGTGTGATGGATGAAGATGTTGGGGTGTGGGAGACTGGGGATGGGGTCAAAGATGGGTGGACTCCTCAGCGAATAAGAGGAGATGGACCAAGGAGCAAAGGGAGGCCGATACTCAGGTCCATAAGCTGCGTGTGTATTCGTTGATTTGTAGAATGTTCCTTTACTAGACCCTGTCCCCGCCCCTTCCCCCAACTATCCCTGATCTTGTCTTAGTATGTTAGTTATCTCTCCGCCCCCATCTTTTTCCCCTCTGTCCGGGGTCCTCACTTGGTTGGGGCAGTCACTAATAGCATATCCATCGTTATACTGAAGTCGTTTTTACACTAACTCAGGTTTACACAAAGTCGTAGTATTACTGGGGAAGACATGATTCAGATTGAAGTAGCTTTAAAGCAAGGTGTCTGGAAGACAGGGCATACACTATTCACCCACGTTTAAACATTGCACCATGCAATTATTGCCAACAGATATGTACACGTGCAAAATAAATAAACAGATGTAATTCCTATTTCACAAAGGGGTCTCTCCAAATACCCAAAAAGTATTTTTACACATCCCTATTGGCCACATGGTTTTTTCGGATTACATTAGTTGAAAATAGGGTTCCAGTTATATATGAAGGTATACAACACGTGATGCACACCAAGCAATTAGCGTCGATTGTGGATACATTTTTCTTGCCATTAAACTAGGGGCAGTTGACCAGCATTAGTTTAAGCGAGCCCGATTGCCGATGAGACGTGGAATGTCGAAAACCGGCCAAGGTTTCCTTGTATTAAAACTATTCTGTGGAAATACGCACTCCCAGAAGGTCATGTGGATGATGAGATGGGTAAAATAGACCTTTTTGTTTATGTGGATTTACAAAGATTTTTAAGGAGGCGTATTGTTTAATTTCATATTTTGTGAAGTAGATTATCACAACAATGCTCAATGATTGCTACAGAACAGGGCATATGCATCTAAAGTAATTTGTCAATATACTGCTGGATGAACACCTCCTCACAATGTGCACGTTGTGGTGGATAATTTGATAATATTTTACCACCCTGATCAGTAAGGGTTAAAGGAGGGGAGCATAGAAGTGGGAGCATATAAGTATAGGTGGTCAGTCCTAGGACCTGTTTGAGGTTACGTCCCGAGAAAACGTGTCGTAAGTAGAAACAACGTAAGTTGAGATCGATTTTCTCAAAGAAGCAATAGAATAATAGTGGATTTACGTTCCTGACCAAGGGTCCGACATTAAACTTTTTTCTCTCCTAGATATGAATAGAAATAGCATATTGAATCAACTATCAATTATATGTAAAGTACAATAATACTGTTTAGAAAGGTCTTACCTATTTTTGGATAAAATACATGAATAAAAAATGCTTAAATATCACTCAATGCACAGAGGTTTAGCACTGGAGCCAAGCACCGTACGTTTGTTTGTGCGCAGAACCTGGTGCCTGAGTGAGCATCACGACGTAAGTGTAGTTCCGACCACCGTGAGTAACAAAACGGATGTGACAATTGGCAACCTGCCTTAAGTGTAGATCGACGTATGTCGAACCACACTTAAGTCGAGGACCACCTGTAAAGTATTATAACAAGATGTTTCGCTGCATCGCCCTCCAATGTCGTCCATTCCAAGAGCACTGATAAGAGGGAAAAGTATGAATGACAATGAATAATCTCGCCCATGGTCATGCTTAGTTTTGTTCGGGCTCGACTCGGAAATCAGACCCCATGCTGTCAAAGCCCCAGCGATGGAGTGGCTCGGATTTCCAATTGAAACCTAGTGCAACGGACACAGCCGCCATCAGTACCAACCAACATATTGCAATTCACTATGCCGCACAAAAATAGAAGTTCAAATTGCCGAAAGAATACGTTTGCCCTCTGCCTCCCTGCCTCGTTATTATGTCAAGCATTCACCAAGAAAGGAGGTCAGTTAGGCCCAGGCCACTAACAACGCCAGGAAAAGCTGCAGGCATTGATGGAAGTAATAAAGATTTTTGGGTTAGATCGCGTTATTTATAAATGTGTCGTAACCCTCCACCACCCGACACGGCCAATCAGTCAAAAATGTGTCACGTTGACAAAAGACAAATAGTTCACTACTTTAGCCCATCGGTGTGTTGAAGAATGAATCCACAACATTTACATTTTTGAATACGACATTTCCCTGGTAATTACATGCAGCATCATCGGGCAATTTGCCAGAATAGTGAAGCCCTCACTTGCTCCCGGTCTTAAATAGAGCAGCAGGGTGAAGTCATCTTTTAACCCAATCAAATGCAGAGATCAGAGGCGAAAAGGGAGGGGGGGGTATTGTAATTATATAATAGATTAATAATCAGTTAATTGTCATGATTAGTAATCAGTTGTAGATTAGTAATAGTTGTAAGGTGTAATTTTTTATAACTGAACTCAATCACTATATCCAATCATGTGCAGAAATCAGAGGTAGCGTAGGGGGGTATTGCAATTATATAATAGATTAGTAATCAGTTAATTGCTATGATTAGTAATCAGTTGTAGATTACTAATTAGTTGTAATGTGTATTATTTAATAACTGAACCCAAACACTATACCCAATCATGTGCAGAAATCAGAGGTGGCGGAGGGGGATTGTTGTAATTAGATAATAGATTAGAAATCAGTTAATTGTTATTATTCGTAATCAGTTGTAGATTAGTAATTAATTGTAATGTGTATTATTTAATAACTGAACCAAATCACTATACCCAATCTGGTGCAGAAATCAGAGGTAGCAGAGGGGGTTGCAATTACATAATATACTAGCTGTACTACCCGGCTTCGCCCGGGACTTGTATCCACCACGCCCGGGCGCCTTTGTCTCCCCAGTGGCGATGTTAATACGCGACACCAGTTACTCGTTTTGAGGCTGAGTCCCTCCCTCACCACTCTCCCTCCCTCAGCACTCTCCCTCCCTCAGCACTCTCCCTCCCTCACCATTCTCCCTCCCTCAGCACTCTCCCTCCCTCACCACTCTCCCTCCCTCAGCACTCTCCCTCCCTCACCACTCTCCCTCCCTCACCACTCTCCCTCCCTCACCACTCTCCCTCCCTCACCACTCTCCCTCCCTCACCACTCTGCCTCCCTCACCACTCTCCCTCCCTCACCACTCTGTAGAGGACGTGAAACTTTGATGAATTTACCTCAGAGTCGCGTGGTGGGTGTCGAGGCCTAGCACCGTGCAGAGCCTCCGGCCTCGCCTGATTTTCCCACCCGGCTGACGCTGGGTACGGGTGCCGTCCCCCCCCCCCCCCCGCGCTACAATAATACTGTCTAATGGCTATAATTATATAATCTACCGACCCTATATTAGTAATTGCACACATTGTGGTGGGGGGGGAGTGAAGAGGACGTGAAACTTTGATGAATTTACCTCAGAGTCGCGTGTTAATGCGTGCGCCTATTTTTAACGGGAA